TAAGTAAGAGACAAGTGAAAAAAGTAGTCAGATATTCAAGTACAGTAATACAATACAATCATGATATTTTGCCCTCGATAACGATAATCACGATATCAGCAATAGATCACAAGAAAGCCATCCACAATATATCATGATGTTTGTAAATGAAGAGAGGAAAACGCATCACAAAGTTATAAGATGTATTTCTTTTAATAACAGCACATTTATTTCTGAAAATTACAACATTGATGTTTGATCCGCCATTACGAAAAGTGCCACCTCATGCATATCGCTATTTTTTTCTGCCCCTATTATTGAATAATCAAATGTAATGTAAACATTATACATTCATCACTGCTGATCAGCAATAATAATCCCAACTCCATATTGCAGATGCTGCGATGTGACTATTGTGAATGCACACATTGCGATATCGATGATGAAACTGCCTGCATTTTAATCGTTAATCCAAAAATGTATCTTTTAATGATTTTTATGCTTTGTGTTTAGCTACTTTCTAAATAATACCAGTCTAATCTTTCAAATTCTGTTCATTATATTAGAAAATTCAAACAAGGAATGCTGTTATGATATTGTAATGTAAGGTCTATTATTTTAACAAACTTTAACTTTACTACTTATTGTAACACCATAAACTTAAATCAACATCTCACATTTCATGTAAACACTCAATCAATGCTTATACATGCTCTTTTGAACGGCCATTTAGCCACATCGATCGTTTTGGATTGATAAAACCTGCACAGCACTTACCTGAGGCCCCCATAGGAGAGGTGGCAGGGGTGACATTTTGGGCATTTAGTGCGAGAGTGTGAGATGGAGCTGGTGGGACAGGCTGTGATGAGGCCCCGGAGGGTCCTGGCAAAGGTCCTGGGGGAGTCTCTCTCTGTGGGGATGTCAGAGGGGTGCTGAGGGGGGTGCTGGGCTGTGATGTCTGGCCTCCAGCTAACCGGGCCAACCGCCTTCTACGGATCTAAACAAGACGCATTAATTACAACTTAATCTAACCACAGATCAGTAATGAGCAATAGTTCACAGTATGCCCTTAACTGCTGTGAATGGGTAAAGCAAAGCTAGAACTTCTATGCTCTATTTCGATACCCTAAAATAACACATTATTCAGGCAAACAGTAGTCCTGAAGCATCGGCATTATTTCCAGCAGTGAAGAAGCTTTACTACACTGTGGAGTGAGTCATTCAGGATGGAGAAGGTAAACTGAAGGCCTCGGCTTCTACAGCAAAAACTGTCAGTGAAATGGAAAAAATGTAAATCCATGACTGAGCGAATTAAAACTGCGAAGTAAAACTCGCTTGAATCAAACGGCTATTCATCTCAGTTCACAGACAAACTGCTTTCACAAGTCATTTCACGTTTATATAGCTAAAATGATATCCAAAATAAATTAAATGCTATCACGAGTTAATTAGACACTGAATTTGAAAATGTATACAAGCCAGACAACACATTTAAAGTTAATATGACTGACATGCCTTGATTAAATCTAAAATGGTTTATTCAAGCATTCATTTTATTGTCGGCTTAGTCGCTTTATTAATCCGGGGTCGCCACAGTGGAATGAACCGCCAACTTATCCAGCAAGTTTTTACGCAGAGGATGCCCTTCCAGCCGCAACCCATCTCTTGGCAACATCCACACACACATTCACACACACTCATACACTGCGGACAATTTAGCTTACCCAATTCACCTGTACCACATGTCTTTGGACTGTGGGGGAAACCAGAGCAACCGGAGGAAACCCATGCAAAGGCAGGGAGAACATGCAAACTCCACACAGAAACGCCAACTGAGCCGAGGATCGAACCAGCGACTTTCTTGCTGTGAGGCGACAGCACTACCTACTGCACCACTGCGTCGCATTAAAATGGTTTAATTAGGCAATTTAATAATAAGATCTGAATATATTGATTGCCAGTTTCACAATAAACGCTACAATGATTTCAGATTTTTTAAATTAGTTTAAATTTTAATTCTCACTAAAACTGTTTGATTATCATGATTCTGAAAGATTACAGAAAATCCTGAACAGCCAGCATTAGTTTGACACAGGCACATCATGTTATATTATTTAAAATGGTATATTTTCTCACTTCTAATAAAGATTAATCTTATTCTAAAGTAAAGGGGTGATATTAGGATAATATACAATTATTGTACTCAAATTACTCGCATTCATCAAAAAATAATAAAATAAATACGGGTGATAAGATGTTGTAAGAAATGTTTATTATCTTATTACTCAAGTCCTCTGATTCAATATTTTAATAAAACCCATTGCAACAAGCTGAATTTGAATACAGTGATAGAGCATGTACACGGTGTTAAATGAGATACTGATGAGTGTTGTGTATTAAAGAAAATGCACAGAACAGATTATATTATTGCATGAACACTATTTTACTGGTGTTATTTTAATAAGTACATTTGATTAACTTATTTAAAGTACCGTTCATTAAAATTAGCAAAAAAAAAAGAAAACTTTTACCAATTAGGAATGCATGTTAACTAACTTACATAAAGCTGCTAATTTTGTTTGTTTTATTTGTTCATTTTAAAAGTGTGGGTATCAATTATTTTTCAACTCATATCATAACTCAATATCATCAACAGATAATATTGATAACCATAATCATTTTGGCCACAGTAACTGTAATATAAATTGTTCATACTGTATTGTTACATCTCTAGTTTGACCTATATTATATAAGGGCTATTGTATTTAGCAATGCATCATTGTTTAACAAATGCTTGTTTTTAGTGTATTGATACAAATAAAATCTGGATTAATGTGGCTTACAGGTCTCATAACATAGCCGGCACAAAAACACACACAAAAAAAACAGCCCAAACAGCACTCAAACATAAACTGGTTAAGGATATTTTTGAGCTGGGCTAAGTTTGGTCTTCATTTACAGCAGTCCAACAAAACACAAAGCCCTGACTGTAAATACACACCAGTGTCAAACAGCAACCAGTGTCACACAACAGTGCCCAAAAATACGAATACTGTTCGTTTTATAGGTAAAAATTAACTTATTACAACTGGCTGTCATAAAACATTACGTTTGTCTTCAAGTAAAACGAATGGATTTAAGCTTTTTATAGAGGACCCCAGGATTAATTCACTGACCTGACGCCTGACAAAAAAGCTTGTTGCGCATGATTTTAGTTTCTAAACGACAGTACGTGTTTGGCCATTTAACCAAACACGTACTATCGACAAAGCTCAATAACTGAAGGTTCAATTACGAATGTAAGTTGAACTACTCAAATATCTGGTTCAAAATAATTTTATTTCTTCGAACGACAGTCTTTCAGCCATTTTGGATTCCCAGTGAAGAAAAGCTTCACAAAAGAAATTTTAACTTGCCAATTGGTTAGCAACTGAAAAACGATAAAGATTGCATTCTGATTGTGAAAATTAAAAAAAATAAGGACAAGGATGACCGAGGCTTGTGGTAGATCCAGTTTGGCAAATTTATGACATGCTACCGGGCTGACTGGAAATAACCATATTCTCGTTTAATTTCGCTTCTACGACGGCAAGTAAGTGGTCCGAAATGAAGATTCACAACATAACCTCATTTTTCTATTCAAAATTAAATTAATCTGGACATGCTGAGCTGTTGATTAGCCTGTGTCCTGTTAGCTTATCCCATCATTACAGCGATTGAAAAGGGTGACAATGACAAGCCAATAAGCCTTTAATATAGCACAAAAACTTAACAGTCATGCCATCGTATGGTCAGTTTCGACTGTAAATACATCAAACTGTTTGAAAATAGCCTTACCTCTTCAGGACTGAGCTGCTCCATTGCCTTTCTTTTAATTTTCAGCTTAATTATGTTGCTAGCCAGTCAGCTAGCTTCCTTATAAACACCAAAAGTGCATAGTCTGAACCATAAAACATATATCAGTGAGCTGTGATTGTCTAATTTAAATCCTTATATTAAAACATCAAACACGCGTGGTTGCTTTTCTTCGATCGCAAAGCGTTATCTTCGGTTTCTGTTAAGAATGAAACAAACACAAAAGTATTAATCGTCAAAACACCGACGCGGCCATTTTGGATCTGGGGTCACGTGACGCGAGATCGACACATTTCAGGCTGCGGCAGTTCAGGAAACTGATTTCACCGCTGAGGCGACCCCAAGAGACTTGTTTTTCTCAAAACTAAGTCTAATTAGGTTAAATACATGACGACGCATATATGATGTTGGGATATTTGTATAGCTTGATAGCAATTTTATAACATCAATTCTATTCACAACTAAAGAAATAAAAATCAACAAATCCGCTGTTGTGACATTCGGGTTTGCCAGCTGTATCGTTTTAACTCAAATTCCTTTTTTTACATTTTATTATTATTATTATTTTTTTTTTTTTACATTTTATTGTTATTTATTTTTAAAACATTATTGGCCATTCACTTGATAAAGATGCCACTAACCATTCATAAAATATTTTAAACTATTTAATGTTATTTGAATTGACTAGACTTTTTTCAAAGTATATTTTTAATGTGACTTAAATTATATAAAAATAAATAAATACATACATATTAAACTACCACATCATAGAAAAAGAGCAAATCAGCATTGCCTGATTTGTGGAGACAAATTCTAACTAGGTTCAAGTATTATTGCTATTATTTCTTTCCTAAAAATTGAATCTATGTAGCTTTGTAGTTGTTCACAAAAGAATGTTTATATGTTATAGGAAGCTTTAAGTTAATATCTTCATTGTGCCAAAAAAATGTAAATCTAGCCAAAATTATAGAGATATTACTATATATATGGATTATTAAACTGCTTATAAGGCAATTAATATTTATTATTACTATAATTAATATTAGCGATAACAATAACTTTATTATTATTATTATTATTATTATTTGTTGACAGCAAAGGCTCCTTATGACAAAGACAATGCAAACCAGAGTAGGTTGTTAGTTCATAAAATACAAAGTACATTATAACTTGTTTCAAAATTTATTGCACAATAATAGGCTTTCAAATACAGTAAAAAAAAAAAAGATTTCAAGTAATCAAATTAACAACATGTATATGTAGGCATCATAGACTATGCCTTAACCAAAAGTAAAGCTTAACAAACAATAAACAAAAAGTGTCTTACAAAATTCATATTCAAAAGATGCTTGTTCTTTTATTAGACAGATCCTGGTGATAGAATAACTCTATATGTTTGTGACTGCGGCTCTTGTATTACATGTAAACATGATTAGGCAATAGTGTCACAACTTCTGTCAACATGCAGTGTTTCCTGTGGGTAAACTACTGTTGACGTGAGTCTGTTTGTTCTTGGTCTTATAGCGCCCTCTAACGGAAAAGCACTTCAAATCCTGCTCCTAAACACATTCAGCTTCAGTGTGCAGGCCGCCGCTAGTCAGGTTTTGAGGCACAAGTTGAAACTTTTAATTTCCCCCCTCGCCTCATATTACTCTGACTCTGAAGCGTAAACGTTGTTTACACCAGTGCACTTTTTAAGCATCTGCAGCAGCAGCAGGACCTCAGATCACCCGCTTGAACACTTGCTTGCAGACTTGATCTTCACAGTGCAACTCCTGGTAAAGGTTGACAGGTGTAATTGTTAGTGTGGTGATTCATAAAATCATTTTATTAATGTTTACAGAGCAAGATGTTTCATTCCACACTTACCAAATGAAGTTTGTCATCCTCAATCCAGTGTGCCCAGCCTCTGTTCTTCTTCTCACCCTTCTGAACACAAACCAGCTTGTTCCCCTCCCATGACACCGCAGACTAGACAAACAGATTTGTGTTTAATTTCAAACTAGTGCATGCCTAATGTTGTACTCTCATTAAATATTTATAAATGTCATGAATATCTAGATCAGGGGTGCCCAAACTTTTTCTTATAAAGGGCCAAAAAAACAAACTTGATTGAGGGAATATGCCAAACTGTATTACAATAAATTTGCCATGGGCAATTTTCTAATTTAATTGCTAATATTTAAAAATAATAAAAAAAAACGTTGCTTTAAATATTTTAATTAATGACGCAGTATAATTTTTAACGTTTCATAATGAACATATTATAGCAAAAACATAAACAATTTCATTTATAAGACAATAGAGTTCAATGCTGAATAGACTAGTCGAGCTGATTCTGACAGTATTTCCATTTTAAAAGTCTAATTCATTTGCAACCTTTAATTGAAACAACTTTCAATTAAACCAAGAAGCTTAAGGTTACATTAAATTTTAAATGAAGATCTCTATAAAAGGCGTTCGCACCAACCAACTCCCCATCACTCTCCCTCTCTTTTCAGATGGGATGGTGGGCCAAATTAAAGGTTACCATGGGGCAACTTTGGCCCTCGGGCCCTACTTTGGGCACCTCTGATCTCATGAGGACACTGCTATCTGATTATGTGTAGTAGTAACTAGTTAGTAGTAATTATGAATGCACAGTCACACACACACACACACACACACACACACACACACACACACACACACACACACACACACACACACACACACACACACACATATATATATATACATACAAACACTTTTGCATTAAGTAATTTGTATATTTATAGGTGAACCATTGTAATACCTTGCAGTGTCTGTCATCCAGTCCCTTGGTGAACTCTTGAAACTCCTCATTGACTCTGAATGAGAAAGTGTAGTTTTTGACAGTGCTGAGAGTCTTGACCACATATCGATCCCCGAGCTGCTCAATCACTTTACGCTGTTTTAGCTTTAGGGCGATCTTGCGGGTGTACAGGCCGATCCCTGTGACAAGACAAAGTTTAGGCCATATTACTGCATGAACCATGTATAAAACTATACAGTACAAACAAAACAACTTATTTATTCATTTATTTTCCTTTGGCTTAGTCCCTTTATTCATCAGGGCTCGCCACAGCAGAATGAACCGCCAACTTATCTAGCATTGGTTTTATAAGCGGATGTCCTTCCAGCTGCAACCCAGTACTGGGAAAACTACTTATTCAGATATAATATGATATAATATAATATAATATAATATAAAATAATATAATATAATATAATAAACAATCCTCCATGTCACCAGGAAAAATAATATCTTACCTAAAGCAATCATGTATCCTTCAAAGTTGGCATTGCTGACCATGTCCCATGTTCCACAGAAGCTCACAGGCATTTTATTAGTCGTCTACAAACTGTTCCAGTGGAAAACAAAGTGCAAACAATGCCAGACAGAGGATTTCGTTCCTCTTAAATTTGCTGTGCACTGAGTGGGCGGGGCGTCGGGTTCTAATTTGCATTTTGTCAATTCTTTTCATCTCCGAGTCAATCTCATGACGACTTACGTAAGCATAAATGTGTCAGGCAGGTGTGTGTGTGTGTGTGTGTGCTAATGGTTGGCTAAAACTCTCTCGTGAACACACACAGTAGCTGTTTAAACTTTAGTTATGTAAAATGCAACGCTTGACGGGTTGGAATGGTGCAGTTTGTCCTTTACTAAACTCGCAAAAAACGTTTACGGTCGACTTTATTTTGTTTACTTTGCTTGCATACCCAACATTTTTTCAGGTCTTCCTTGTATGTTGTACCAAGGTAAAAAAAATAATTGGTTGTGAAATTATTCCACATACGACATCCTCGTCACATGAGTGCCACAAAACAAAACATTATCACGTCAACTTACAGTGAATTTCCTAAAGGACGATGATAAACGTAGACACCGAAACTTACTATTTTGATCATGTGAGGATGAGTAGGTGTTTATTGATATTTAATCATGTGGCAATATTAGGAGATAATATAGGCTCAATCTACTTTAAATGTGGACTAATCTCTTTAAACTTAAGACCCTTTTTTATAAAACACAAACAATCTGATTTGATTACAAAGCACTGAATACAGTACACACAGGAATAAAAGGTTTGAGCTGTAAACATAGCACTTGCTTAAAAGTTGATATTATATGCAAATACACAAGGCGAAAAACACAAAGAAAGACTAACTAATTTTGTCAATGAATGAGGAAAAAAATAAGGAATGAAAAAAACTTCTCTCAGTCACAATAGTTTGCTAGTAGGGGAAACACTGGGGAATTCTTTTTATTATTAACATTTACTATTTGTAAATCTTTCCAGGTCACGAGTGCCTGAGGAAAATGTAGCCTAGATGAGTCAGATACTGTATGTTTATTTTAAGTGTGACCTCAGAAAGCAAATTGCAACTAGTTTCTATAATAAACATGCAATGGCTGGGATTTCCCACTTTTTTGCAGTATGGTGTAACAGAGTTTGTATATTAGCACTGGGTTAAAAACAGGTTGTGCAAGTACAAAAGAAGTTCTTCAAATGTCAAGATGGCAATGGTGAAAACATAAAGATAAAATATGATATCTGATGTGTAAATGCTCAGAGCAAATGTTCTCACTTGTCAAATAAATGTCACTAAGCAAGTGTGGCATTACCATAGCTTAAATTCTAGAGCAACCTATTGACCTGTAACACTTATGTAAGTATTTTATGTTGTTTATTATATAGAAAATGAACATTATTCACAGATTTTGTTTCTTTTATTGGCAAAGAATATGTATTATTCTAAACATTTACTATAAAGCATGTAAAGGCTTTTATTGTTCATAAAGTCATTTTATTTTATATAGTTATAGATCATAGATGCCAAAGTTGGCCCACCTTTCATTCAGCCCGCCATCCCATCTGAGAAGAGAGGAAGACTGATGGGGATGGTTTAGAGATTGTCATTTCCAATCTAATGTAACCTTTTGCTTGTTTGTTTTATTGTTAAAAGCTAACTAAATGCTTCAATTAAATATTGTATATGAATCAAATTTAGTTTAAATCTACATAGTGTCTCCGGATGGATAGAGGACAATGCAGAGATGCAAACAAGCAGGTTCTGCTTGACTTGTGTATTCAGCATTGAACTTCACTGTTCTCTGTTGTTTTTATTGCAATAAGATATCATTTTAAAAGTTATGCTGCATTAGTTAATACTATTTAAAGTAATGTTGTTGTTGTTGTTGTTGTTTTTAAATAAATTACCCAACTTTACCCATAAATTACCCAACTAGTAACTTTTATGTAATATAGTCACAGTATATTTATATGGAGTTTACCTTCAGCCCACAGCTTATAATGATATTTGTTTTTTGGCCCTCAATACAAAACAGTTTGGGCACCCCTGTGTTTTAGATAATAAAGTGCGAAAGATAATGCTGAAAGATTTTATAATATAGTAGCACCCACGACAGAGCATTTTTCGTCATAAGTACAGTGAAATATGCAAACACCAATTATTTCTTTGCATTATCTCTTTTTTAAAAAGTGTACAAATGTATTATAATAATGATAAGCTAATTATTATTATAATGAAGAATTTGCTATTATTAATATTTTGCATATTTCTATCGAAATACAATATAGAGGGTTCCCATACTTTCCTGAACAGCAGATTCAAAGACTTTTTAAAGCACCGTTAATTTTAAAATCAAGCACCTTTGCAATTCATACTCCGGCATATGTAGCACCGTTAAAGTCCTTACTGTACTTAACATTTAATTTACACTTAATATTTACATTAAAAAGAATCAATTGTAAAAAAAAAAAAATATATTATTTTAAAATAGGCAACACAATGGCTCAGTGATTAACACTGTTGTGTCACATCTGGGTCAGTTGGCGTTTCTGTGTAAAGTTTGCATGTTCTCCCTGTGTTCGCTCTAGTTTCCCCCACAGTCCAAAGACATGCGGTATAGTGTATGTGTGGGAATAAGTGTGTATGGGTGTTTACCAGTACTGGGTTGCAGCTGGAAGGGCATCCGCTGTGTAAAACATATGCTGGCTAAGTTGGTGGTTCATACTACCGTGGCAACCCATGATGAATAAAGGCACTACGCCAACAGAAAATAAAATGAATATATATTTTTTAAAAAGTCACGTTTAAATAACTTCAATAAATAATGAATATGTTGAATTCACAACTGGTGATGTTCAAATGCAGATTCAGAAATATTGATAAAATGTCAGTGTTATTGTACATGATTTACATTTCAGATTTTTAATTTAGGAATTTCTAAGCTTTTTTATGTTATTGACAATTAAGTACAATTGTTGAAATAAAAGCATAAACTGATTTAATATCAAACGTAATTCAAGCACTTTCAAGGACCTATGTTTGTTTTGATGTTCCAGGGCTTGAATCCATATATCTGAACTTCAAGTACTTTCAACAAGCATGGGAACCCTGATTATACAATGACTAAATGACAACAAACAGGTCCTCCATTTATAAGAACCTATATATGGCAGGGCATGTTTTTTTCTAAGTACTGAAATACCTTTTTGTACACTCAAGCAGAACATTACAAATAATAATAGCATAATCAAAACTCTCTTTCAGAGACTTTTACAAACAATCGCTGCTACAAAGAATCAATAAGAAATGCATTAATGAAAAACAAAGCTCAGCTTGACTTTTAAATCATTTTCAGTTTAATAATACACTGTAAACAATGCTGGGTTCCACACAATTCCCTCATGTTATCCCAACACAAATCAATTAAGTTACTAATTTAATTGTTTAAACTGTTAAATTTAAGTACACTGAAAAAAAGGATTCACAATTTTTTTTAAAGCTAAGTGGTTGCAAAAAATTTACACCGGCTGAATTTAAACAAGGGCACAGTGGCTCAGTGGTTAGCCCTGTCACCTCACAACAAGAAGGTTGCTAGTTCGAGCACCAGCTGAACCAGTTGGCGTTTCTGTGTGGAGTTAGCATGTTCTCCCCGTGTTCACGTGGGTTTCCTCTTGGTGCTCCGTTTCCTCCAACAGGCCAAAGCCATGCGCTATGGGTGAATTGAATAAACTAAATTGGCCATATAGTGTATGAGTATGTCTGAGAATCTGAGTGTGCATGGGTGTTTCCCAGTACTGGGTTGCAGCTGGAAGGGCATCCGCTGCATAAAACATATCCTCCTGAGACCCCGCCCATTGACATGTGTCCTCTGTAGTGGAAATTGCGTTTTCATGATTTATTTTTTGAGCTACTCTGTCAAGTCCAGTTGTGCTGTTCAGAGGACATCCCGGGCTTTCTCGTGATATGTCATTTGATTGGCTGGCATGCTGCGAATCACTACTTACACTGCATCCAAAATGGCCGACATACAAAAAAAGCACATTTTATGGGAAGGAGAGAGGTATGTAACATTTAGGAACATTTAACACACACAAACAAACAAACAAACAAACAAACAAACAAACAAACAAACAAACAAACAAACACAAACACACACACACACACACACACACACACACACATGTTTATTAAAGTGTCAGGAACAATACATTTAGCTTTCAAAACTGTTAACTTTGTATTTTGTTTGTATTTCACAATATCATCTATTTTTTCTATGTCCACTATATGGACACCAGGACCATCTTATTGTAATTAATGACTGCATTTTGTAGGAGGCAAAACTGAAGCAAAGAGAATTGTTTATAACAAATATAGTTGAGGGAGACTCTGATTTAGAGTCTGACAATCAGACAATTAGAGAATTGGAGACAATCAGAGAATGACAATCAGCTTTAAATCACTTTTATGTTAAATTTGTTTTGGATTTACATTTCTTCTTTTTTTTCAGTTCGGCTCTCTTTCAGAATAAACTGTTTCAGGATTTTTTAAAATAAAAATGAAAAAAAAAAGGCTTTTGTTTTGTTACATTAATATTGGATTAATATCCCTTTACAGCCATATCCTGTACAGTTTTGTTTTCTGAGTTTGGCGGTAGTTTCGAACTAAAATGGTCCTGTGGTGTACTACAGTGGACATGCTGTAAAATTAAAAATAAATACAAAATTAAAATAAAAACTCTCAATTGTAGATTTTTTTTATCCCAAAGGATGTAGGAAATCACAGAAAAAAAAAGATACAAATTTTCTTTGGGTCTCGGGAGGATATGCCAGAATATGGCAGTTCATTCTGCTGTGGCGACCCCTGATAAATAAGGGACTAATTCAAAGGAAAATGAATGAAGAAAATACATTTAACCAAATAAAATGAAGTAATGTTCAACTTCATTTGTTTGTATAAATTCAGCCATTATATATAGTTTGCAACCACTTGCCTTAAAAAAATTGATTAAATCCAATGAATCATTTTTTTCAGTGTTGATTGGACATAAAAAAAATTCAGCTGTCCCCCAAAAAAACACAATACTGTTGATTCAGCTCATTTTAAATAAGGAGTCTTAATAAATCTATTTGAGTGTAAACTATGCTGAAACTATATTTATGAATGTATCAATCTCTTTATTTAAAAAAGAACTTAACACATTAAAATGCAAAAACAATTTCACAGCACTTATCATGTATTATTCATTCATTACAATCAGAACAGTTCAAGGAAGCAAAATGGACTATCTTCTGTGCAACGTTCTTCTGTCAAAGTTCCAGAAGCAGCTTTACTCAGTGTTGGTGTATCTCTGCAGAGGAGCGAGAATGACGCCTGCGTTCTTCTGTTCGCTCTCAGCACTGTACAGACTGTGATCCTGAATGTAGCGAACCACTGAGTCAGGCAGCAGGTAGCGCACACTTTGACCCCTGCGCAGGGCACGACGTATGTGTGTGGCTGAGATCTCATTGGTCACCCATTCTCGAACCACACTGATGTTCTTTCGGTGTTTGTACAGGACGTCCGACTGGTTGATGAACTTTTCTGCATCGCTGCCACATCTGGTGATGCAGGTCACGCCGTAGCGGCCCACAATCTCCTCAATGTCTTCAGGCTTCCAGAGGTTCGGGACACCAAACGACTCCAGCACATCAGCACCGCACAGCAGATTCAGATGAGAATGGTCTGTGATAGATATTTAGGACAATACTACTACTTTTGACTCGCCTTTGACAAGGATTGTGAGAAAATTATGATTTAATTGAAATATGTGTCCTTTCTAGGATGCTGAGAGGCTACTATAGTATATTTAATTACAGTATGGTTAGGCTATAAATGTAAAATACTGTTCTTGTTGCTTTGAGGAGTTTTATTGTTCTCGTTTGCAAGTTGCTTCATGTAAGCATCTGCTTATCTGGCTAAAATAAGTTGCACTACTGTTCAAACATTTGGGGTCACTGAGATAAAACGAAAATAATAATACATTTATTAAGCAAAGATATATATATTAAACTGAACTTAACAATGAAGACATTTATGTTGCAAACGTTTTTTTTTCTATACTTTTGTCACTTGGTGAAGTTTGTTTCTCGCCACTTTCGCCACTGGCTTACTTGGTTTTCAGTGGACTTTCAGCAGTGAAAATTAAACTACACTGAACTGAACTTCAACTCTGAAAACTGGACTGAAGCAGTTTCAATTTACTAGAACTTCTATGTTAAGCTGCTTTGACAATCTACATTGTAAAAGCGCTATAAAAATAAAGATGAATTGAATTAAATGGAACGAGTTCTAATTTCAAATAGATGCTGTTTGTATGAACATTCTATTAATTAGTATAAATTATACCAATGCATGTTTATATTCAATTTTATTTATTTAATGTTATGCGAGAGTTTAAGAACCCCTTGGAAAACCCGTTTAAATAGGAATCATTATTTACAAAATAAGAGAGGTCATACAATATATTATATTGTATTTTTTATTAATAAGATTTGAAATCTAGAATAGGATTTCTAGAATAAGATATTATACATAAAATATGTTTACAAACAGTCCACAAAATAGAAGATAGTTGTAATTGATAAAAATACCTACTGCAAATGTTTGGTTCTTAATGCTGCGTGTGGTTACCTGGATGATCTGAACCTATTTTAACACACTTTAATCTGTTTTAATCACTTTTATTATTTGCTTTTTATACTTGTCTCTTTTATTCCTGTTTATGTAAAGCACTTTGAATTACCATTATGTATGAAATGTGCTATATTAATAAACTGGCCTTGCCTTGCAACAGTTTTGTTTTGCTTTTTGATGATTGTTCATGATCCACTTGTTTGTTTTGAAAACTTAAACTGCCTCAATTTTCCAGCATCTTTTGTATATTTGAAGCATATCAGCAGTGACTGTACACTACCTAACAAAAGCCTTGACGTCATTCCCAATTGTAAGAGCAACAAATAATAACTTGACTTCTAGTTGTTATTATTATAGAAAAAGTGGTAGAAGTTATGTTTTACTGATGAATCATCTGTTGAACTGCATCCCAATCATCACAAATATTGCAGAAGATCTATTGGAGCCGCATGGACCCAGGATTCTCACAGAAATCAGTCAAGTTTGGAGAAGCAAAACCATGGTTTAGGGTTACATTTAGTATGGGGCATGCAAAAGATCAGCATAGTGTATGGCAACATCAACAGCCTGAGGTATCAAAACATTTGTGCTGCCCATTAAATTACAAACCAAAGGAGAGGGCAAATTCTTTAGCAGGATAGCGCTCCTTCTCATACTTCAGCCTCAAATCACTTCGAAGTTCCTGAAAGCAAAGAAGGTCAAGGTGCTCCAGGATTGGTCAGTCCAGTCCCCAGATGTGAACATTATTGAATATCTCTGGAGTTAGATGAAAGAGGAGGCATTGAAGATGAATCCAAAGAATCTTGATGAACTCTAGGAGTCCTGCAAGAACGCTTTCTTTGCCATTCGAGATGACTTTATTAGTAAGTTATTTGAGTCATTGCAGAGATGTATGGATGCAGTCCTCCAAGCGTATGGGAGACATACACAATATGAATTCTTTTTTTCACTGGACCATGACTTCATATTCTATACTGTACATTATTTCTGTTAAGTGACAAGACTTTTGTCTAAGCAAAGTCAAACCTTACTGTTCTAAGTAAATAATTCAAAATCAAGACATGATCATATTTTATTTTGGTTAAATAAGCAGAATCTAGAGGCCTTTGCCTTTTATATAAGCCACTTCTGATACAAAATGATCAACTAGAAATCAATTTATCATTTGTTCTTCTTTTCTTTAGGAATATGTCCAAGTTTTGTTGAATATATCTTTTTTTCCCCTATTTAGTACTCTACTTCAGAAGAAACAAAATATAATAATTACATGTTTCCTGGAAAACAATTTACATTGACCTTCCATCCCTTAATGCATCTTGTTTCCTTCTGGAGAGAACATTTTTTAATAGTTGTATGGTGGAAAATTCAATCTTACAGATCTTCAATGTTTTTGAAACATTGCGTAAGCATCTTTTTCATCTTAAGATATAGTCTGGGATATGGATAAGATCTCTGTTTGACAGAGTTTGTGCAGAGCCTTAATTTAAGTTTGGGAAAGAGACCCAAGAACTTACGTCAGGTATTACCATATAGATATGGCTGTCTAACCTTTTCTTAGAAAAGAAGAAATCATCTTTAAATATAATTGCACATGTTTGTCTCTTATTCAGAGTTTTACATGGCCAGGACAGTTCCAGGTAACCATAGAGTTTTAAAACGCCTTTTTATTATATTTTGTTTAATTTGATTGAGCACATGCTTAATGTTTTCTTAGGGTATGTGTATAATCACCCTTTAAAAGGTTCACAAATAGATTCTCTTCCTCCTTTTTCATTTTTTATTTAATTTATTTCCATAACAGATAATGTTTGGCTACTAATTTTTGGAGTGTTATAGTAAGTTATTTTGTTTAGCTCCAGATATGGTTTCAGTACTGACTGATCTAATGTATATGCACAAAAGTAACATTGTAAATCATCCTATATTTAATATGCAATATATTATAAATTCTAATAATAATGACTCAAATGTAAATTTCTTTTTACTTAGGGCCAATTATTGCAGTGAAGACTGGTGCTCACTGCAGAACAAAAAACCAAGTCCCAAAAAACATTTGACCTATTTCACTTCATGTGTTGTTTCGATTCTCAGTTACTAGACCTCTTTTGTTCCAAGTCCAGAGGAATGCTGTCAGACAGTGCTTAGAGGTGCAATACTGTAAACACGCATAAAAATCTCGCTGCACCCTGTTTCTCTCCTGTCCTTAGGGCACATCAGCCATTCATTTTATTGGCTGTCGTCAGGTCTTCTAACAAAGCGACATTTCGAAAGTAAACATATTTTAAAGTCTATTGGTCTTTTGTACTATGAAGGATAATTTACTATACCTGCTTTTGGGTTCATACAAGAAGGGCTCTTTTTCTCCATCTTTCTCCTCTTCCTATACTTCCCAGTATCCACATTATCACCGTTGCTGCTATTCTCGCTGGAAAGAACTGCATGATGATGCCTAACAAAAAAGACATACAATTATCAGATTTAAGGCAAGACACTGCAGGTGAAAATGAAAATAATTAACTTACGTATACAATTGAAGTCAGAATTATTAGCCCATCTGTTTATGTTTCCCAACTTCTCTTTAATAGAGAGAAGTTTTTTCAACACATTTCTAAACATAATAGTTTTAATTTCTAATAACTGATTTATTTTATCTTTGCCATGATGAGAGTAAAAAATATTTTACTAGAAATTTTTCAAGACACTTCTATATAGCTTAAAGTAACATTTAAAGGCTCAACTAGGTTAATTAGGTTAACTAGGCAGGTTAGGTTAGGTGGGTTATGTGCAGTCAGGTGCAAAGTTCTTGTTTAATTTTGCTATATTAGAGTAAATAATTTTACAATGGGATTTTGAGCATCTACATCACTTCATTATACAAAACATTCTGCAAACAAGATTTTTTTTACCAAATTAATTTGTAAATAAATTAAACTATTCATGAATTTCTTTTTTGTAAAAAAAAAAAAACTTTAAATTGTGAATATGTATAGAACGTAAAGTTTATAACTTAGAGAAAACTGCAGGTCAATAGGGTGAAAACTTACGTAACATATTTACCACCCTGCTTCCAGAATTGATTGACTAAAATCTAGGTTTTTGAAATGTTGTATTTAGATATGCAAATGAGATATTCATTAAATATGCACTAATTTCCATTCATTTTAGCATAAAGAAATAATACTGGATGAAGTCAGGTTCAGACTTGTTTAATTTATTTGACATATTACAGTCAAAAGAATTTACATGCCAATGGTATTTAGGTAATCTATATCACTCTACAATTCAGAAAATACCTCAAACAAACAGATTTTTTAAAAAGTGTCACTTATTTTTGCAGAATAAACCACAGATTAATCAAGCAAACTATTTATGAATATATACCACTGTAAAGAAATAAATGGATTTAAATGAATAAATAAATATGAACATGAATAAAACTTAGCTGATTTAATTCTCGACTGTAAAGTTGGACATTACATTATAAATATACAGTCAGAATATGTGTAATAAATAATAATAATAATAATAAATAAGTGCAATAAAAGAATCACTTAGATGTTTCAGATCTTTTCTTTCCATTAAACACTTAAAATAGAGAAATAAAACTTAATAAAAAAGCCAAAAAGGGCAAAACAGGTGCATGAAGACAGTGTTTTTGCCTGCAGTGTCAGATTTTAATATCAACATCAAAACAATCATTTTGACGCAGTAGAATATCAAAGATGACGTCCATCCACACAAGTTAACACACTATCAGATGGGACACTGAACTCATGCAAAGACTCAAAGCACAACAACAGATGCAAAACTCGAAGGGTGTGACATTTATCTTTCCCTTCAACAAAAGTGAAATGTTCTGATCTGAAAGCACATGATCTGAAGAGATTCTCACCGAACAACTTTGGCCGTCTCCACCCACTCAGGCTGTTGACTCTCCCAGTCATCCACCGTGATCCATTCAGAGCTCTCCGTGGCCAGTCTAGCCATCTCCAAGCGATGACAGGCTTCAATCAGGCCTTTCTTTTTATAGCCATCTCCAACTGGAGAGATTATGCCTTTCACCACTTTGTATCTTCCTGAGACAGCAAGAAATCTGAAGTTATGCATGTGTAATATGCAGGTTTTAATTGATAACAAAAGCAAGCGTGTGTCCAGAGATTTACCAGTGTCCTCAAGGTGATCGCGAGCCAGTTCGAACATTCGCAGATGCATATTTGTGATGGGGTTGAAGGAGCCACATGCCAGCAGAACCAGCTTGATTTTCTCTTGTGATGCCATCGATCATGAGAAAGATGCTGTCGGAATAGAAGATAAAATAAATCAAGACAATTAAAGCGCAACTAGGCATTTTATTTTTGAAGACAGGAATTTGTAGCATAGATTTCAAAATGATGAAAAGTAATTGTTATTTTACAATTTGACTGTCCTTCACATAACTAGGTCAGCAAAAAAGCTTTTAATTATATATATATATAAATATTTTTATTATTCTATGTATATTATTCTATATTATTATTAATAAATAGTTTTTTATTATTACTGTTTCGAAGAATAAATCACAGATTAATCAAATAAATTATTTATTAATATATACCACTGTAGAAATCTTCATTCATTCATTTTCTTTTCGGCTTATTCCCTTCATTAACCTGGGTCGTCACAGTGGAATGAACCACCAACTTATCCAGCATATGTTTTACACAGCGGATGCCCTTCTAGCTGCGACCCATCACTTGTAAACACTTATGCACACTCATTCACACACATACACTACAGACAATTTAGCTTACCGCATGTCTTGCGCTATAGGTGAACTGAATAAACTAAACTGGCCATATTGTATGTGTGTAAATGAGAGTGTATGGATGTTTCCCAGTACTGGGTTGCAGCTGGAAGGGCATTCGCTGTTTCGATTTTTCTTTACATTAGGAAATTTCCATTTCCTCTTATAAAAAGAAATAAAAAGGTTAAAAAGTCAAAGATTTTATAATAAATAATTAATAATAAAATGTTAAACGGTCACATGCTCTTTAGTCATATTTGGATAAATACGGGTCAGAATACGTTTGCAATTTTATTTCAGTATAAATATATCTGTTTCACTAAATGCCCATAAAACATTATTTCTTCAAAATCTACTAATTTTTACAAAAGTTATTTGAAATATCAAAGCGGACACTTTCTTGACATATGAAATTGCTTTTATGTGATGTTTAATGTGATTCAGACATTCTAATAATATTAATATAATCAGTGTTGGGGTAACAAATAATGTGATTTGCATAATAATATTACTTTTTCAAATAACAAGTTATTACTTAAAAGATGCTCTACATAAAAAAAGTTATAATTGAGTTACTTTTAGTTTAATTATCATGCACTCAATGAGAAAATATTTGCTTTATACTTTCAATAATCTGTATATACGGCACATATATTGGAAGTTCTCAGAAGATAACATTATGCTAAACTATTATTTTTTTTAAAGGTAAATGAAGGTTATAGTGCGCTGTTAAATGCAGAGCTCCTCTAATAAAAAAGAAAAAAGAAAGAAAAAACCTGCAAATTCTGAAAAAGATGCTATTAAAAAAAAGTAACGCCAAAGTAATGTATGGCATTACTTACCATAAAAAGTAACACAATTAATTACAATTTGGTGAGTAATGCAAGACATTACTTTCAAAAGTAACTTTCCCTAACACTGACTATAATTATATACACCACACACACACACACACACACACACACACACACACACACACACACACACACACACACACACACACACACACACACACACAAAAACTTGTCATTTATAAAAATAAATAAAAAAATTAAGTTTGTTCCTGAGGAAATTCATAATGCTACGAAATCACCAAATCTTTCCATAAAGAAAAATCTGAGCTAACTCTCTAAAGTTCTTCCTGTTTCAAAAGAAAGTAAGAGGAGGTATTTTACTATAGTTAATGACTATACTATAGAAAACAGGGAACAAGGAAGGAGGGAACAGGAAGGACATTCCTACACAGTAAATTCTATGTAGTGAGTAATTAGTTTACGATCAATTAACCTATTTAATCAACTGGGCTAAAGAATGATATTAAAAATAAATGCACAATTGTGCGCAATAATGTGTTATATAAGCAGGACTAAACGTGTTTACTTACTACCAAATCAATACATCAGTCTCGTGCTTTCCATTGAGCAGAGTGAAAAAACTTCCCCAAATTTATGATAACAAATGCCGCGAAATGTAACGTTAGTAAAGAAACAGAAAACCTGATAAATGTGTGGTTGTCAGCACTATATATACACAACACATTTTTACTGTCTATGAAACAACATAGACTGTACGGTATACAAACATTACCCTTCTCAGGACAGCTGCAAGTGTTGGACAAATGATCAATGCGCGTGCGCACATCATACGCAAGTCCTACGCTTTCGTTGTGTTCGTAATCGTCAACTCTGCGCAGAGTTTACGCAGACCGACCATAGGCTTTCTATTGAAGATCAATAGCAAGCCACACCTTAGCAAACTGGACTTAGGAACATAGCAATTGTAATTTTATCTTTAACATTGGGAGTTTTATTAATTAAATAAGATACAGGTGAGAGATACTATTTTATTAAGCTAAAACCTTTTCGTTTAGGATTCTTAAGTTCGTGCATTGGTTTGTTTATATGTGAGTGCAAGCTAAGCTAACTGCGCAGTCAGAGAGAATAAAGCACTCACTGTCTACAGAATGGGGTTTTAATCACTGATAGTAAACCAATAACAATATTTAACTTCACATGACCAACAGTAGACACTATTTCTGATCATATCAGACATGACAGGTGTGACATTCACAGATACAGTAGCAACACTATAAGGTGACCATGTTCTGTATGAATAACCTTAGAGATTGCTGAAAATATAATTTTGGATTATTTTAATTTTTTTTTTAAAGAATGGCTTCTAGAGGGAAATCAGAAACAAGCAAACTGAGACAAAACATGGAGGAACAGCTGGACCGGTTAATGCAGCAGCTCCAGGATTTAGAGGAGTGCAGGTAAACACATCTCACCAGCTCTTTCAATAACAAAATATTACAAGATTATGATCATTTTTCATTGCAGAGAGGATCTTGAAGAGGAGGAATATGAAGAAACCAAAAAAGAGACACTAGAACAGCTGAGCGAGTTCAATGACTCACTCAAGAAGCTGATGTCTGGGAATATGACACTAGTTGATGAATTAGGAGGAATGCAGCTGGTAAGAAAAAGTACATTGAATTGTATTAAAGAGATAGTTCACCAAAACAATAAAAGTTTGCTTACCCTCAAGTGGTTCTAGACATTAAAGAGTTTACACAAAAGAAAATATTTTGAAGAATGTTGAAAACCTTATTGAGGTAAAGTTGGTTTTATTTTCACACATTCATTCATTTTAATGCTATCTATATTGTTTACCGCATTCCTTTGAATATTCAGTGAGAAAAATCACATGTAACTTTAACTTTAAAACTACATTAGCACTATTTAACTGACTGTAAATCATGTTGTACTTTAATAAGTCATTTGCTGTTGATGTCATTTCCCAATTTAGAATTTGCAAATAATTATTTTCTGAAACTATATTATTAAGGGGAATGTCTGAATAAGTAAATATAAAACCAACTTTACCTTTTTAGAAAACTCTAACCATTGAGATCCGTAGTATAAACAAAAGAAAAATAATATATCTTTTTTAAATACTGTAAAATACTGTATATATTAATAAGAATATGGATGTCAATGGCCACCAGTTTTTCTATAATTTAAAAAAAATACAAATTTTATGTGAGTATGTGTTTTTTTAAAGTAGAAAGAAGCTCAAACAAGCTTGAAATGAGTGGAGGTGAAGCAAATAATGACAGAATTTCCATTTCTGGGTGAACATTCTGTTTAACATAATATTAATTTACATGTTATAGAATTATCAATTATTATTATACATTATAAATCAAAGTGTTTGGGTTAAAGATGAGGCGTCCACATTGTTAAATGTACAATTAATTCAATACACATAGGAAGTGTCTAGTCTAATGGTTCAGCTTTCTTATATAAAAATGTTAAAATATGTATGAAATAAGGTTTCATCATCATTTAGTGTAACGTTCATTAGTTTAACAGAGGGCTGGGCCATATGGCAAAAATGCAATCTCGATAATTATTTTACATATTGAATGATGACGATGTATATTTCGATATAAGTTGTTAATAAACCGAATAATTAAAAATGATTGAAGCCACAAAAATGACTGGGTCCCTTAAATGGCATAATATATTTTCGGCCAATAAATTTTCAGTGGCCAAAAAATTCAGTACATCTCTAATATCAACACACTTTTCGATTCCCATTGTTGCACATTTCTGCAGTGATTGGCTCTTAGATCATTATAGAGTAAAAAAGTGCAGAGCTTATCATTGTTATTGACGTACATTTTATCGTGATTCGATAAAATATGCTTTATAGGCTCAGCCCTAGTTTAACATACTTGTTTTGTTCATTATTCAAATGTATAACAGAAAAGTGATCATACTAAACTTTAGTTACATGCTTAACAACGTCTTGCTGACAAATGGGTAAACCCTAGGGTCAAAAAATCTAACTCTATTTCACACAGAACAACCTGTGATTGTTTAATGTCGAAGTAAATTTTTCTTAGGCGATCCAAGCTGCCATCAGTCAGGCGTTCAAGACTCCTGAAGTTATTCGGCTGTTTGCTAAAAAGCAGCCAGGGCAACTGAGGACGAGACTGGCGGAGGTGACCAACATTGTTTAATACTGACATTTTTCAAATATACGACCCCCTGCGTGCTTATGCTCATGTGCTGTTTGATGAATTCAGATGGACCGCGATGTGATGGTTGGAAAGCTCTCTAGAGATGTGTTCACTCAGCAGAAAGTAGAGATCCTCACAGCTCTGAGAAAACTTGGCGAGAAGGTGAGAGGGTTATTACTGACACTTAACTGATACTGCGTCTGTTTCAAGACTCGTGTGTGAAATGATATCTATGCTTGTTTGAATGTGCAGCTGACAACAGAGGATGAGGCGTTCCTCGCTGCCAACGCTAGTGCCACTTTGAGCCATTTTGAGAAGGTCACTGCGAGTCTGGGTAAGATGGCAATCAATCACGTGTACTATTGAGGCAACCTATCATGTTTTCTGGAATATAAGTCAAGTTTTTGGATCTGAAATCCAAAGCAAGTTATATAATGCAGTTCATTTACTCACCACTGGTCATCTGATGTCACTTTCTTTTCTTCTTCAGTAGAATATTGAAGTGATTAGTTCACCCATAAATCAAAATAAAGTTTTAACTCATCCCCTATTTGTTTCAAACCTGTTTGAATGTTTATTCTTTTCTGTTCAACACAAGAGAAGATATTTTTTACAATATTGGAAACTGCTAGTCTTCGACTTCTATAATATTTTTTTGTTCCTACTATGGAAGTCAATGGCTACAGGTTTTCAACATTCTTCTAAATATCTCTATTTGTGTTCAATTGAAGAAAGAAATTCATAAGTTTGTATCATTTTGATGGTGAGAAAACTGATCAAACTAGATAACACAGTTCATTTACTCACCTCAGGTCATCCGATGTGACATTTTCCTTCAACAGAACATAAAGCCATACAGTTCATCCTAAAATGAAAATAAAGTGTTTACTCATCCCCCCATTAGTTTTAAACCTGTTTGAATTTTTTCTGTTTAACACAAGAGAAGATATTTTTAACAATATTGGAAACTGCTAGTCATCGACTTCCATAGTAGGAACAAGGTATACTATGGAAGTCAATGGTTACAGGTTTTCAACATTCTTCATGATATCTTCATTTGTGTTCAACTGAAGAAAGAAACTTATAAAAGTTTGTATTTTTTTGTGGGTGAGAAAATTATGAGTCAATTTTTATAAAACAACACAGTTCATTTACTCACCTCAGGTCATCAGATGTCACTTTTTTTTTCTTCAGTAGAACATTAAAGTGATCAAATTCAGCCTAAAGTGAACATTTATAAGTTTTAATTCATCCTCCAATTATTTCAAACCGGTTTGAATGTTTATTTTTTTCTGTTTAACACAAGAGTAGATATTTTTAACAATATTGAAAACAGCTAGTCATTGACTTCCATAAATACTATGGAAGTCAATGGCTAGGGGTTTTCAACATTCTTCATAACATCTTCATTTGTGTTCAGCTGAAGAAAGAAACTCAAAAGTTTGTATTTTTATGAGGGTGAGAAAATTATGGTCAATTTTTACAGTTGAAGTCAGAATTATTAGCTCCCCTGAATTATTAGACCTCCTGTTTATCTGTTTTTTTATATAATAAATGATTCCCTTTTTGGCAGTGTTTTGGTTGATGCAGGGTTTTCTTCTCCCGTATTACACAGAATTGTCACACTATAAATGTCTCTTACTTCTTTCCCTAGATTAACATCAAGAAGTCGTAACAATGAGAAATGTTGTTTTTAGTGAACGTCACAGTCATTTTTGTTTGTTTTATACTTTTAATGTAAAATAGCTTTGGCAGGTTAGCAAGAAGAGCTAAAATAAATATATTTTCAATGTTTGCCAACATTTGGTTTTATTTAGGGTCTACCTGTAGCTTATCTATACTACATCACTGTGACTTATTTTCTGGAAAACATGGTATGCTTGCTAAATATGATGTTTTTAATAATCAAATATGTATTTATTTTCCAGGATCTGAGGATAAGATAATGGCCTTAGCCAGTTCTGGAGTTGGAAAGACTCAGACATAAAGTTTTACTTGGACTTTTCTTGTGAGCATGGCCTAAATGCTGCCTGTGACTTTTACAATATTTACATTTTGTGTTTGTTTTCTTTTAGTTTTTTGTAATATTCATACTTGGAACAGAACTGATTGTATGTGCCTTTATGTCTTCAGATGATCAGTCATTTGGTTTGTATCATGTACATTTTATGTTTGATTGTACGTTCTGATTTCGGTACGGTGAAAAAAAGTGTTTACATTTCTGCTGAAAGACATTCACAGTCATTTTAGAATAGCTCTTATTTTCCTGAATACAAAGAGGTAACATTTCCTTTATTCACATTGAGTTTATTTGTTTAACCCTCTGGTTGTAATTTAATTTATTAACCTTGTTATCCAATTGTTTGCCAAAAAGCCTTTTGGTTCTAGTATTTGATAGTAAAATAGACTGTAAGTAATCACTATGCATTTTAATTTGCTTTTTAACCACTGTGATATTTGTAAATATTTTGTATGTGAATATATTTGATGATTAACATCTGAGAAGTTGTCAGTGTTGTTTTCTTTTATAATTTGTCTTATTTTATTGCATTACAAATTTTACAAATAGGAAAAACTGCTTTGATTATCAATCCACCTTA